AAGGACTACCCAGAAGCAAGCTCAAGTTCACAAGGCAAGCCAGAGGAAGAGGCCTCAACAGAATATAGAGCATCTGCTTCCTAGCTAGGACCGAGGATTGGGAGCTGCTGCAGCTGGGGACAGGTCTTGGTGCCAAGCACCCACAGGCTATTTTGGACTCAGAGGGCTGCAGACTGAGATTCCAAACCTTTAGAGGAGGAAATGCAAGTATGAAGGGAGGAAGAATCAGCCACCTTGTGTTGACTGGCTTTTTTTGGGGGGGGGTTGTTTTAGTCTTTCAAGACAGGGTTTTCTCTGTGTACTCTTTGTAGTCCTGGCTGTCCTCGAACTCAGAGATCCGGCTGCCTCTGCCTTCCAAGTGTTGGGATTAAGATGTATGCCATCACTGCCCAGCAGAGCTGGCTCATTTTAATGCTCTCACTCAATGCTCAGGCAGTTTGCTTCTGTTTGCAAAATGAGAAACTGGAGCTCAGAGAAGTATCTGCTTAGCATCACACACCTGATGTGGGACCACAGTAAGGAAGCACCAGACAGTTTCCAGAAGACACTCATCGGTGATACACCCTGGGCAGAAGTCTCCAGAGTCTAAATTAGAAGAGGGATCGGTTTTAGATCCTGCCTGCCTCTTCAGGAGGAAGAATTCACTCTGGCAAAGCTTTGCTTTACTCTCTTGGGATCTGTTTCCTGTTTGTTTCACCAAATTGCTAGAACTTGAACTTGGTCCATGCATCATCTAGGATGGCCTGTCTCTTTAAGCAGAGGTTCTGGCTGCTGTCCAGATGTTGCTTCTAGTATTTCTAGTACGTGCTATGCGTGCTATAAACTGTTAAAGGCACAGGACTCCACTTTATTAGGAAAGTGCTGAACAACGTCAGGATGGGGAAAGGTGTGTGTGTGTGTGTGCCTATGTGTGTGTGTGTGTGTGTGTGTGTGTGTGTGTGTGTGTGTGTATGTGCCTGTGTGCATCTCCATTTCCTTTGTTGGCCTGAGGAGGAGCCACAGTTCCAGTGAAATGACCACACTTTGAGTTGTCTGATGGGTTGTCATTTCCCACTGGCACTAGCCCCAATACTAGAGTTTTCTCAACTTCTTTAAAACAAATAACATGCAAACATACACCTTATGCTACAATTTCTAGCTAAGAAAAAAATAAATGTATTTAACCATTTCTAACAAAATCAATGAGCTCTAGGTTCAGCGACTCTGTTTCAAATATCAGCATGGAGGACAGGCAAGATGGCTCAGTGGGTAAAGGTGCTTGCTTCAAAAGCCTGGCAACCTGAACACGACGCCTGAAACTCATGTAAAGAACAAAGAAAGAACTGACCTCCCAGAATTGTTCTCAGACCGTGTGAGGTACGAGTATCCAAACACACATATATCATGCTCACATGCACATGCAATAATAATAGATTTTTTGAAAATTAAAAAGAGGGGTTGGATGCTGGGTGTTGGTGGTGCAACACCTTTAATCCCAACTCTTGGGAGGCAGAGGCAGGTGGCTCTCTGTGAGGCCAGCCTGGTCTGCAGAGCGAGTTCCAGGACAGGCACCAAAATAAAACAGAGAAACCCTGTCTTAGAAACCTGCCCCCCCAAAAAAAAGAGGGGTTGGAGAAATGGTTTGGTGGTTAAGAGGTTTGCACCCCGTATCAGGCAGCTCACATGTGCCTGTAACTCCAACTCCAGGGAATCCACACCATCTACATCATCTTCTGACTTGGGCATACCACACTATGCATATGGAGGTCAGAAGCCAACTTGCAGGAGTCTGTTTTCTCCTTCCACCATTGTAGGTCCTGGGTACAGAACTCAGGTCATCACACTTGGTGGCCATCCTGCACACTTTCAATCCTAGAGACTAGGGATGCTAAGAAAAGAAGATCCCTTGGGCCCAGGAATTGTTTGAAGTCCAACCTGGACAACACAAGAGAGATCCTGTCTCAAAGATAAATGAACAAAAATAATAAAATACAATCAAAACAGGATGAGCATTCCTCCAGTGGGACACTGGCTCACAACTTCAGCAAACATTTTCTGTCTGCTTACAGTCCATTAGAAGACACCTCAAATGACCGTTTAATTGTCAACTGTGAATTTGCAACTGCCTGTCTGGCTCTGGATTGCTCAGAATCCAAAGTGGGAACAATCAGCCCATTGTCTGCCCAGAATCCAAAGTGGAAACAATCGCCCATTGTCTGCCAGAGTGCTCCAGCTGATTTTTCCCCCCAGACAGATGCTACAGGCCTTGTCAAAGTATGAGATAGTGTTATTTAATGAGTTAAAACTCAGAATTGACTTCAAGAAAACGACTTGGTATGCTCAAGAAACAGGCAGTCCTGGGCTGGATTTATGTCCCACTCTGGTGTACTCGCAGCCAGGCAGATTTGAAAATGTCAACAAAATATTTCCGAGGAAATCATCTTTTATCGACTACTCTTCCCCTCCTCCCTCCACTTCTTTATTCCTCTCTGCCTCCTTCCCTCCCTCCCTCCCTTCCATTTACCCGTGCGTGCGTCTTTTCTTTATCCAGTTAGGAACAGTTTTACAGAAACAGTACGTTTTTATTTCTTAACTTAAGGGCTGTTTAAACCATCAGCAGCAAACGAGGCGCAACACATGCTGGGTTTGGCTTGCTCTGTGATTTTCTTTTCTTTTTTTTTCTTTCCTTCTTTTTTTAAACAGATTTGGACACCAGCCCAG